GCGGATCACGAGATCAGGACATGGAGACCATCCTGGCTAACACGGTGAAACCCCGTCTCTACTAAAAATACAAAAAAATTAGCTGGGCGTGGTGGCGGGCACCTGTAGTCCCAGCTACTTGGGAGGCTGAGGCAGGAGAATTGTGTGAATCTGGGAGGCGGAGCTTGCAGTGAGCCAAGATCATGCCATTGCGCTCCAGCCTGGGCAACAAGAGTGAGACTCTGTCTCAAAAAAAAAAACAACATACAAAAATTAACCAGATGTGGTGGGCACCTGTAATCTCAGCTCCTTGGGAGGCTGAGGCAGGAGAATTGTGTGAATCTGGGAGGCGGAGGTTGCAGTGAGCCAAGATCATGCCATTGCGCTCCAGCCTGGGCAACAAGAGTGAGACTCTGTCTCAAAAAAAACAACACTACATCCATGGTCCCTTCAGAGGCTGACACATGTTTCAAATCTCCCGAAAGCGTTTGTCCGGTCCTCCCCGGCCCCAGCCTTCCACCTGAGGCAGAGACAAGCACTGGTGGCCCTGGGACCATGGGGACCACGTAGCTCCCTCGAGGGTTTCCAGGGATAGCGCAGGCTCGGGTCAGAACGTCCAGCTGGGACCTCTCGTGTCCCACCACCAGGGACCCACATCTGTGCAGACCCCATCCACCCCACACTGATGCTAGAGCATCCCAGGTCTCCCACAGAACAGCGGCTGCCAGGGTCCCTAACTCAACCCAAATGCTCTCTCTTTCCCTTAACAGACATCCCTTAACAAGCTCTTGGAGGCGCTGGGGAAAGCAGAGCCCTTCTTTATCCGCTGCATCCGTTCCAATGCTGAAAAGGTGAGTTTCTCTAAGGTGTTTGGGAGGAGAAGGCCCATGCCAGACTCTTAGGGGTGTCGGTGTCCCTGCATCCAGCCCCAGCCTCCACGCAGTATGGGGGACAGTGCAGCAGTCCATCCAGAGGCAGCGGGGATGGAGGGTTAGCAGTGAGGATGGCCCAAGTGGCCATTCAAGAGTAGGGACATCATCTGGAACATGGAGACGCCCAGAGAAGGTTTGATTAGGGAGCGACAGGGTCAGGGGTGCTCTTCAGATACATCCCAAAGAGTAGCCAGTGCAAGGAGTGTACCAAAAGGCAAGGGCTGAGGTTACATAGCAGAGTCTTAGAGGCACACACAGCCCGCTGCTCACATTGCAAGTGTCTAGAGAGACCCTCGGAGCCCCGGTAGAAGCACCGGTGGGGGCTTCAGGCTCAGCACTGGCACAGGCTTCCTTTACCCCAGAGATCCACTCCATCCCTGGGAGGACAGCTCGGGGACTTTACCAGGGACGGAGCAGGGGTGTGGGCTCCCAGACAAATGTGAGCACACAGCCAGGCAGGAACCTCCCACCAACTGTACCTGGGGAGATGCTCCGTCGTGCATCGTCTCTGCTCGTGGGCTGTGCCAGCAGATGGTTCTCTATGATAAGAGCCATTCTGTGCACTGGAGGGTGTCAGGCAGCATCCCTGGCTCCACATCCACCCCCAGTCATGACAACCCTCCCCATTCTTTCCTGTTTGCCCTTTTTTTTTTTTCTTTGGTTTTGTTTGTTTGTTTTTGAGACAGAATCTCTCTCTGTCTGTCACCCAGGCTGGAGTGCAGTGGTGCGATCTCGGCTCACTGCAGCCTCGACCTCCCAGGTTCAAGCCATCCTCCTGCCTCACCCTCCCACGTAGCTGGGATTACACGTGCCCACCACGCTCAGCTAATTTTTGTGTTTTTAGTAGAGACGGGGTTTCACCATGTTGGCCAGGCTGGTCTTGAACTCCTGACTTCAAGTGATCCACCCATCTCAGCCTCCCAAAGTGCTGGGATTACAAGCGTGAGCCACCGCGCCCAGCACCGTTTGTCTTTATAGCAACACCATGCCTTATCCCTCACTGCCCACCAGGGTGAAGTCCAGACCCCTGAGCTCCAGGCTTAAAGCCCACTGAGGCAGCCGCATTTTCAGCCTCTTCTCTCCCCTGGCAGGAAGCATCTCCCTGTGTCCCCATCAGCCCCTTGGCTTCTTCCTCCTGCTCTCGGCCTCCACCCAGCTGCTCCCTGCCTGTTCTATCACCTGTGTGTGGCTCCTGCCCCCAAACCAAGCTCTCCTCTCCACCAAATCCCCAGCACTTACCCCGTGCCTGCCACGGAGAACAAACCCAGGACACATTTGCATTTAGTTTTTTTGTTGTTGTTGTTGTTTTGTTTTTAATAAATTTAAATGACTAGAGATGGGGTCTCACTATGTTGCCCAGGCTGGTCTCAAACTCCTGGCCTCAAGTGATCCTCTCATCTTGGCCTCATTCCAGAAGGAGTGTCTGGAGCAAGGAAGGACCCCTTGTCCAGGCACTCCTGGCTGCTGTGCCATAGAACACTCCCAGGTCAGCTAGCCAGCACCCACATGTACACCCTGACCAAGTCTGTGTTAGGGATCCCAAGGGGCAGTGGTCACATGGCACAGTGCCCTAATCTCACAGTTCCCAGGCCTGAGCCACCGACAGGCTTGGGCATCCTGTCCGGTCAAGGCCACCTGCGTGATCTCTCACATTCTCATTTCAGAAAGAGCTGTGCTTTGACGACGAGCTGGTCCTGCAGCAGCTGCGCTACACCGGTATGCTGGAGACCGTGCGCATCCGGAGGTCAGGGTACAGTGCCAAGTACACATTCCAGGTAGGCCACAAGCACACGTACCTGGACACACCTGCTTCATGGCAAAGGCAATCGCCCTCTTCCAAAGAGAGCTCCTTGCTGGAACGTAAACCCAGCAGGTTGGCCAGTCGCCGTGGCTCACGCCTGTAATCCCAACACCTTGGGAGGCCGAGGCGAGCAGATCACCTGAGGTCAGGAGTTTAAGACCAGCCTGACCAACGTGATGAAACCCCATCTCTACTAAAAATACAAAAATTAGCCGAGTGTGGCAGCAGCTGCCTGTACTCCTAACTACTGAGGCAGGAGGATCCCTTGGACCCAGCAGGCGGAGGTTGCAGTGAGCCGAGATTGAGCCACTGCACTCCAGCCTAGGCAACAGAGCAAGACTCCATCTCAAAAAAAAAAAAGAAAGAAAGAAACCCCTGCCTCATGCCAAGAGCTGGTACCTGTGTCACCCTGAGCCCAAAGCCAGAGATGACAGCGCCTGGTTTCCCTTTCATGCTTTCCCTTCATAGCCCCAGGGACTAGAATAATATAATGTGCCTCTTTTCTCATCCATTGAATAGAAATAATGTCTTTCTAATCCTATGCAGATAAGAAACGCAAAATTATAAAAAATGCAGAAATGCTGGTGTGTTTTACCAATACTTGACCCTTAAATATTTGAAATAATACTTTGCTAAAAAGAAATGTTCCAGGCAGGTACAGTGGCACACTCCTGTAATCCCAACACTTTGGGAGGCCAAGGCAGGAGGATCACTTGAGCTTAGGAGTTTTGAGGCCAGCCTGGACAACCTAGAGAGACCCTGTCTCTGCAAAAAATTTAAAAATTAGCCAGGTGCAGTTGCTTATGCCTGTAATTCCAGCATTCTGGGAGGCCAAGGCGGGTGGATCACTTGAGATCAGGAGTTTGTTACCAGCCTGATCAACATGGTGAAACCCCATCTCTACTAAAAATTTAAAAAAATTAAAAAAATAAAAGCCAGGCACGGTGGGGCACATCAGTAATCCCAGCTACTTGGGAGGCTGAGGCAGGAGAATCTCTTGAACCCAGAAGTTGAAGGCTGCAATAAGCCGAGATCGCACCATTGCACTGCAGCCTGGTCAACAACAGCAAAACTCCGCCTCAAAAAAATATATATATTAGCCAGACAAGGTGTTGTGCACCTGTGGTCCCAGCTACTCAGGAGGCTAAGGTGAGAAGATCACTTGAACCCAAGGAGTTTGAGGCTACAGTGAGCTATGACTGAGCCAGTGCACTCCAGCCTGGATGGCAGAGCAAGACCCTGTCTCAAAAAAAACTAGAGGCCCAGTGCAGTGGCTCACGCCTGTAATTAGCACTTTGGGAGGGCAAGGGAGGCAGATTGCTTGAGCTCAGGAGCTCAAAATCAGTCCAGGCAACATGGTGAAACCCCATCTCCACACAAAAATACAGAAGCCAGGCGTGCTGGCATGCAGTGTACTTCCAGCTACTTGCAGGGCTGAGGCAGGAGGATTGCTTGAGTCTGGGAGGTCGACAGTGAGCCATGTTTGCACCACTGCACTCCAGCCTGGGAAACAGAGCGAGACTGTCTCAAAAAAAAAAAAAAAAAAAAAAGTTCCTCCAGCTATGATCTAACTCCCTCACAAGTCCTAGACTGTAAGCCCCATTGCAAGGGTGGCCCCGGTTCCCAGCCACCTCGACCATCTAAAAGACCTAGGACCTTGTGTCTGCAGTGGTCTTTCTTAAGATTACAGACTATTGACCAGGCATGGTGGCTTAGCCTGCAAGCCTAGCACTTTGGGTCACGTGACCCAGGCACCACTGCACCCAGCTAAGAACCCATTTCTTTTTTTTTTTTAGGCAGAGCCTCACTCTGTCGCCCAGGCTGGAGCGCAGTGGCGTCTCGGCTCCCTGCAACTTCTGCCTCCCATGTTCAAGTGATTCTTCTGCCTCCACCTCCCCAGTACATGGGACTACAGGCGCCTGCCACCATGCCTGGCTAATTTTTGGTAGATTCAGGGTTTTGTCATGTTGGCCAGGCTGGTCTCATAGGTTGAGCTCAGGAGTTTGAGACGAGCCTGGGCAACATGGTGAAACCCTGTCCCTACAAAAATTTTTTTTTTTCTTTTTTTTTTTTTTTTTTTTTTTTTTTTGAGACGGAGTCTCGCTCTGTTGCCCAGGCTGGAGTGCGGTGGCCGGATCTCGGCTCACTGCAAGCTCCGCCTCCCGGGTTCACGCCATTCTCCTGCCTCAGCCTCCCGAGTAGCTGGGACTACAGGTGCCCGCCACCTCGCCCAGCTAGTTTTTTTGTATTTTTTAGTAGAGACGGGGTTTCACCGGGTTAGCCAGGATGGTCTCGATCTCCTGACCTCGTGATCCACCCATCTCGGCCTCCCAAAGTGCTGGGATTACAGGCTTGAGCCACCGCGCCCGGCCCAAAATTTTTTTTTTAATTAGCTGGGCGTGGTGGCTACAGGACTAAGTACCTGTACTCCCAGCTTCCGGGGAGACTGAGGCAGGAGGATTGCAATGACGTGATCTTGGCTCACTTTAACCTCAGCTTCCCAGGTTCAGATGATTCTCCTGCCTCAGCTTCCCAAGTAGCTGGGACTACAGGTGTGTGCCACCGTGCTCAGCTAAGTAGAGATGGGGTTTCGCCATGTTGGCCAGGCTGGTCTCGAACTCCTGACCTCAGGTGATCCACCCGCCTCGGCCTCCCAAAGTGCTGAGATTATAGGTGTGAGCCACCATGCCCAGCCCAGACTATTTCTGAAAGCCTGAAATTTCAGATTTGTCATTACCATTCCCATCAAACCCAATTTCACCTTAACCAGGGTCACCAGATCCCCGTCTCCTCATCGCTGGCCGCAACACTCACCCAGATTCTCCTTTCTCTGCCCAAATAATGTAGGATTTCACCGAGCAGTTCCAGGTGCTCCTGCCCAAGGATGCCCAGCCCTGCAGGGAGGTCATCTCGACCCTCCTGGAGAAGATGAAGGTAGACAAGAGGAACTACCAGATCGGGAAGACCAAGGTCAGTGCTCCTGCCCCTCGGGGCACCGCAGACCCACACCCTGCCTTCCACTGCACACCGTGTCTTCCCAGGCCCCCAGGGCCACTCTCTGAAACATACAGGGCTCTGTCTAGGAAATGCATTTCTAGGAACCCAGCAGAATACTGCACCTAAGGGATAGGGGCCGCCCTGGCTGAGCCCCACTTGCTGCTCTTCAGCGGGGCTCAGAGACTCCCTCTGCATCACCTGTTTATTGCTGCATCACAGGTAGGAAAGGGACGATGATGCTAACTGGCAGGATTTAGGAGCTGGTCCATCCCCTTTACAGTATCAGGTGGGAGGCGGCCTGCAATTGTCCCTTTCAGAGATCGTCTCCCATCTCTGGGCATGTGTTTGCCTCTTGCTGTGGGGGCATTGTTCAGCCACCCTTGTTTAACAAGTGCCAAGGTCAGTCCCCCAAAGGCCTCACCCCATGTAAAAAAATTCCCTTCCAGCCAAGCGAGGTAGCACGCACCCAGAGTCCCAGCTACTTGAAAGCCTGAGGTGGGAGGATCCCTTGAGCCCAGGAGTTTCAGACTAGCCTGGGAAACAGAGCGGGACCTCGTCTTTATACAGTATTTAAAAATTAGCCAAGCATGATGGCATGCACCTGTGGTCCCAACTGCTTGGCAGGCGGTGGCAGGAGTTTGAGACTGCAATGAGCTGTGATTGCACCACTGCACTTCAGCCTGGGTGACCAAGCGAGACCTCATTTCTTTTTCTTTCTTGTTTTTATTTTTGAGACAGAGTCTCACTCTGTCACCCAGACTGGTGGTGCGATCTCAGCTCACTGCAACCTCCACCTCCCAGGTTCAAGTGATTCTCCTGCCTCAGCCTCCGTGCAGCTGGGATTACAGGTGCCCGCCACCACGTCTGACTAATTTTTATATTTTCAGTAGAGACAGGGTTTCATTACAGGCACACACCTGTAGTCCCAGCGACTCAGGAGGCTGAGGCAGGAGAATGGCTTGAACCCGGGAGGCAGA